CCCAGGCCCAGGAAACCTTCCCCAGTGGGATGTCTGTAAACTACAGCTGTGATCCTGGCTATTCCCTTCATGGAGAGGCCTCCATCCATTGCACAGAGTCTGGAAATTGGAGCTTTCCGTATCCTCTGTGTGCCCAAGGTGCATGCATTTCCTGTTGGTCTTCTCCTTTTGCTTACAGGTGCATTGGCTACAGAGTTTGCATTCCTATGATTTAAATCAACGGATTGCAAACATTCAGATACACCTGATAAAGATGCAAAGTTCTGGGCTGGGGAGTGAGCCTCCAGTGAGACATGCTGGGCCACACTTGCAGCTGGCACAGCTAACTCCATCGGCTGCAGTAAGTGTTGGTGCTGAAACAGCGATGGGTTATGTCTCAGGAGGCTGTAACAGAGTACAAAATCATTTTAAAAATGAGGTAAAGGGTTTTTGCAGGAAAATGGCTCCGTAGACAGACAAACACATGGATGTCAGGCTTTGGTAAACCCCTGCTCTTGCTTTTGTTCAGTTTGTACCCATAATTTTTTATTAAAGCTCCTGCTACTATTGCCACTCTGGATGAAACCTTCTTGCATGAAGGCCTGTTGCAGTGGCAAACCAGTGATTCTTTGTCTAGCAACGAGACGCATATCTAAGGGAATTATATCTGTATATTGCCTGAAAGCCTTAGTAATGGGTTGGCCACCCCTTGATGTACAGAATAGATATCTAGAACAGAAGAACAGCCATGCCCCGAAGAGTAGCCAGCCCAATATGTAAAAAAAGGAATGAAAGGAGGAGCCAACAAATAAATACAGCAACACACCCAGATTGCAATGGCACTTTCCCATTCAGCGGCTGTGTGCATGGGAATGAAGCTAAAGAGGGTCGGGCTCCAGGGGCAGCTCCCCGCTCTGTCCCACAGGCGTTTTGACATCCACGTGCTCACCCCTGCTTTCAGTTTCAGTGGCTGGCTGTGGAGCCGCCCCGCGGGCTCAGAACGGAAGGCTAACTGGATTAAAACCTGTATATGATCCTGGAGACACTGTGACAGTGGAATGTGAACCCGACTACACTGTGAACGGCACCCGGCAGTCTCGGTGCCGAGGTGACGGCACATGGGACCCTCCCGTCATTGTCTGTGAAAGGGGTAAGTTGGTAAGCTGGGACCCCATTGGGACGAGCCGTGTCTGTCCGCGGGGAGTGGAGGGGAAAAGCATCCTGGAACCAGTTTTCAGCTCTGAAAAGCAAAATACTCATCTCCTGCTTCGTGACCTCTGGGGGTTTTGCCTCCCAGAAGGAACCGCAAGGGAGTGAGGTCTGGCCAGCCTTGCTCACAGATTAGCCTCATGCCCAAATGGAGGAATCAGTGGGGAGGACATAGCAAGGCATGAGATGGTCCTGAAGGTCTGGACTTTGTGTGGTGAATGCAAACTGTGCAATGTGAATGGGACAGAGGGGAATATTGGCCATGAAATTTCGTGTGGCATGTGGCTTTTCTCTTCACTTACGACCTTCTTTGCTCCCTTCAGTGCTGCGGTGTCCCCTTCCTCCAAGTATCAGTAATGGGAAGCTCAGCAGCCAGGCGTCAGCAGTCTTCACCCCTGGGATGTCTGCAAGTTACAGCTGTGACCCTGGCTATACCGTGACTGGAGAGGCATCTATTTCTTGTACAGAGTCTGGAACGTGGAGCCTGCCCATCCCGCAGTGCAAAGGTGCGTTTCTCATCAGTCGGTTTGCTTAGCTGAGGCCGCACAACTCGTTCTTGGCGAGCGTTCTGGCAAGTCCACCAGCACCACGTGTCCCAGCTGTGAATTCAATCTGTAAAGAATTGGACACTGCTGGTTGTACCCTGGGGTGGTGCAGTCTGTTTTTTAAAGTCTCCGTAAATGTTTAGGTCATACTGGCGCACAGTTCTTGCAGCAAATTAAGTAAAGGTGTTAACGTGGGAACTTGCTGTTATTAGAAATGCAACGTCGTCATGGGTAAAAATAGCTACTGAAACGGTAAATAACGAAACAAAACAGGAAGTTGCACTAAAGTGTGCTGTCGGCTGAAAAATCCCGGGGCGGGGCACCTTGCTAGGGATGAACTAAAAGATGCACTGTTAAGCAACAGGTTTTCATCAGTAACTGCTTTCTGATCCCAGCTCTACCATCAGCTAGGTGGCCCAGTCATGTCCAGCCCAACCCACAGGGTCAGAGATAAGTATGTCCTGAGCACAGGCCACGTTGGTATCATTGAATAAATGTTCCCTGTGTACAGAAAGTATTATTACAATGAATCGGATCCACATCCTCAAACCTCTTGAGTCGCTAACTCCTCTTGATGTCTGCGATGATCAAAGTACATCACCCCACAGTTAGCTTGCAGTATTACTGAGCAGTAGCTTGGTTTATCTTCCTGGAGCAGGCAAATCCAAAGCCGGATGTTACAAGTAGAGGCAACGGTTGTAAGGGCTGGTGGGTGGTTTTCTGTCTGTGTGCATATTTGGGTGTGGGGGTGTATATGAGCTTCTGCTGCTAGAATATTTTTGAGGCAGACTGGTCCTGTCTTTGTAGCAGGCTATGTACACACCTCGCTCCTGAGATGCTCTCAAGTCACATGTCAGCACGGTAGAAAAAGCTTTAATTTGTTGTGTGTGTTTTCTTTCTGGCTAGGTGGCCGTGGTGTCCCTCCGAGGTTAAGCTTTGCTGAGGGAGCTAAGGAACAAGTCTAAAACTCAGAATGGGTTTCCCGTTGGGACGACTGTGAAGTACACTCACCACACACCTAGAAATACCCCTTCCCACCCCCTTACCTACTTTAAGAAAAATGGTTGTGGTCAGAAGTGCTAAAGGTCCAGTGGATAGCTGTCACCCCAGTGTCAGTTGTTAGGAAAGGGTCTTCAAGGCACCAGGTTTTGTCCGTGCTGCAAAGAGAGAGATTTTTTCTTTCTGTAACTGTCAATACATGGCTTTACTAGTCAAAAAACTGGCATTTTCTCTGCCTTTCAAAGCCTCCTCTTTGTGGGTGGTTTGAACTGTTGCAGATTTTTCAGAGAGATGTGTCACTTAGCGTGCTGTGGTGTACCACGGCAGAAACCTCATACTAGCCTTCTGCCCTGCCAGGGAAGTCATGCAGTTATCCAGAAGAACCAGAGAATGGCACTGTTGTCCTAACAGATCTCCTGATTGGGTCCACAGTGAACTACAGCTGCGAGGAAGGGTGAGTTTGAGGGTGTGTGAGCTGACTGCTTCTCTTTGTTCAGAGCTGTGGGACTTTTAAAGCTGTTTCCTCACCTTTCTCGGCAATTGTTCAAAGCTCAGCATCATTTTGGCCCGCCGAGTGATCGGACGACCCTCACCAGGCTCTGCGGCAAGGCTCCAAATGAGCGGGGGAAACCTTGGGTTCACTTGGGTTTGAAACCTGCCTTATTGCTGCACCAGTCCTAAGCCATCTGTGATCAC